TTAACATTAAATATTAAAAAAACGAAGATCATGGCATCCGGCCCCATTTCTGCATGGCAAATAGAAGGGGAAATGGTGGAAGTAGTGACGGAGTTCCTCTTTTGGGGCTCCAAAATCACTGCGGAGGGTGACTGCAGCCATGAAATTAGAAGACAGTTGCTTCTTGGCAGGAAAGCGATGACAAACCTGGACAGTGTGTTGAAAAGCAGAGACAGTACTCTGCTGACAAAGGCCCGTAGAGTCAAGGCTATGGTCTTTCCAGTGGTCACGTACGGTTGTGAGAGCTGGACTGTAAAGAAGGCAGAATGCCTAAGAATTGATGCCTTTGAACTGTGGTGCTGCAGAAGACTCCTAAGAGTCCCTTGGACAGCAAGGAGATCAAATCAGTCAATCTTAAGGGAGATCAACCCTGAATAGTCACTGGAAGGACTGATGCTGAAGTTGAAGCTCCAGCATTTTGGCCATCTGATGCAAACAGATGACTCATTGGAAAAGTCCCTGATGCTGGGAAAGATTGAGGGCAGAAGGAGAAGAGGGTGTCAGAGGATGAGACGACCGGACAGCATCACTGATGCAATAAACATGAACTTGGGCAAAATTCAGGAGATAGTGAGGGACAGGGAGGCCTGGTGTGTTACAGTCCATGGGGTTGCAAAGAGCCTGACATGACTGGGCAACTGAACAACCATATACATATGTATATAGGTTGCTTCTATGTCTTGGCCACTGTAAGCAGTGCTGCTATGAACATTGGGGTACATATATCTTTTCAAATGAGAGTTTTTGTCTTTTCTGGATATATGCACAGGAGTGAGATTGCTGGAATCTATGGAATCTCAATTGTAGTTTTTAAATGAACCTTCATACTGTTCTCCATAGTGACTTCACCATTAATTTAAACATTTTTAAGTTACAGAGTAATTGAGCAGATTTACAGTTCCAAATGCTTCCTCCCCTCCCCACTTCACAGTTCCCTCTATTATCGGCATCCGGCATTGGTGAGCAGTCTTGATACATTATTATTTGTTACAACTGACAAGGTGACCTTGAGAGATTATTAGTAACTAAAACCTGTAGTTAACATTAGGGTTCACACTTCGTGTTGTACGTTCTGTGGGTTTTGGAAAATGCATGCTGTCACGCATCCACCGTTATAACATCCAGAATGGTGTCTTCCGGTGCATGCTCAGTCGTGTCCGGCTCTTGTGACCCCATGGACTGTAGCCCACCAGGCTCCTCTGCTCATGGGATCCTCCAGGCAAGAACACTGGAGTGGGTTGCCATTTCCTCCTCCTATGTCACTGCCCTAAAAATCCTCTGTGCTCCACCAGTTTGTCCCTCCTTCCCCTAATCTTTTTACTGTCTTCATAGTTTTAGTTTTCTCTAGGATGTCATGTAGTTGAATCAGACAGTATAGCCTTTCAGACTGGCTTCTCTCACTTCTCATTTTTATGTTTCTTCTATGTCTTTTGTGGCTTGATAGCTCATTTCTTCTTCTTTTTTTGCTCTTAAAAATGAAGAAAGTTTTTGACTGCCATCCATTCATATGGTTCCAAATTCAAAGGGAACCAAAGTCCCCCTCTTATTCCCATCCTTCAGCTACCTGTTTCCCTTCCTTGGAGGCAACTGGTGTTAACACTTTCTTGAAAGAACATCCTTCTGAAGATTATTTTATATGTAGAGAGGCATTTTTCTTCCCGCCTTTTTTCATTGTGTTAGAATACACATAACACAAAACTTACCATCTTAGCCTTTTTAAAGTATATATTTCAACGGTTTTAGATACAGGAAATATCTCCTGCAGCCATCGCCATCAGCCATCCCATAACCCTTTTCATCTTGTGAATTGGGAATTGTCCCCACAAAATATTAACTCCCTATCCTCCCCTCTGCCAGCCCCAGGCATTCACCATGTCACCTCTTGTCTTTATAATGTTGACTATTCAAAATGCCTTGCTCATTTTTTTTATCATCAAATAATATGGCTTTTGTTCAGTCGTGCAGTGTCCGACTCTTTGCCATTCCATGGACTGCAGCACGCCAGGCTTCCCTGTCCTTCACCATCTCCTGGAGCTTGCTCAAACTCATGTCCATTGAGTCAGCGACGCCATCCAACCATCTCACCCTCTGTCTCCCCTTTCTCCTGTAGGAATCCTCTCAGAGAGCCTCTGGTGATTCGACAGGGGAGCTGGTTTGAGTCCTGGGGATCTTCCGAGGTCCTCAGCCTGGTGAGCGTGGAAGCTCCTTCCTTAACCTATGAAAAGCCCATGGGGTTCCCTTTCCTTCCCTTTATGTTTTGACGCAGCTGGTTGCTCTTTTTCAGCCCATGGGGTCGCAAAGAGTCAGACACAACTGAGCGACTAACACATTTAAAAAAAAAGTATTTATTTTTAAGTGGAGGATAATTGCCTTACAGTACTGTGTTGGTGTCTGCCATCCATCAGCGTGAGTCGGCCATAGATGCACATATGTCCCCTCCGTCTTGAGCCTCCCTCCCACCTCTCACCCCATCCCACTCTCTGGGCTCCCACAGAGCCCCGGGCTGAGCTCCCTGCATCAGACAGCAACTTTCCACGGTTCATCCCCCTTACATGTGGCAGTGGATGTGCTTCCACGCCCCTGACGCAATTTGTGCCACCCTCTCCTTCCCGCACCGTGTCTACAGGTCTGTTCTCTGTGACCCCATCGCCACTGCCGCCCTGCAAATAGCTTCATCAGTGTCATCTTTCTAGATTCCATATATATGCGTTACTACATGGTATTTGCTTTTCTCTCTCTGACTTACTTCACTCTGTATAATAGGTTCTAGGTTCAGGTGCTTCATTGGAACTGACTCATATGCATTCATTTTTATGGCTGAGTGATATTCTTTATCCCACTGTATGTATGTACCACAACTTCTTTATTCATTCATCTCTTGATGGACATCTAGGTTGCTTTCATGTCTTGGCTATTGTAAATCGTGCTTCCATGAACAGTTTGGTACATGTGTGTTTTTCAGTTATGGTCTCCTCAAGGCAGAAGCCCAGTAGTGAGATTGTTGGGTTGTATGGTAGTTTTATTCCTAGTTTTTTTTTTTTTTTTCCCCAAAGGACTCTCCATGCTGCTCTCCACAGTGGCTGTATAAATTTATACTCCCACCAGCAGTGCTGGAAAGTTCCCCTTCTTCCACACTCTCTCCAGCAGCCGGTCAATCCTTTCTCTTCTTCGCTGGGCTCAGCGCGTCAGCTGCCCTTCCAGCCGCGCCCGTGTCCCCGTCTGTTCTGTGAGCGGCCCTGCAAGTGTGCTGTGGGCTTGGTCATCTCTGCTCTGCTCCTTGCTGGCCCCGGGGCTGTGTGTTCCTCAGTGTGCCCGTCCGCGCAATGGGTGTTAGATCTGCCACACAGACATCTGGGGGCTCCACGGGGCTTGGGGTATAAGCCTCCTGCCTGTGAGGGGCGGGGTGCATTCCCACCGTGTTTTCTCTGGCTCCTGTGTGGGGTCCCTCGCGGGTGGTTTGTGCCTTCTCGGGGCAGCAGGGAGCCAGGGGTCTGGGTCTGCCCGTGGGGAGTGTGTGAATCAAAGGAGCCGGCCGCAGCTGAAGCAACCTCGCCTGGATTCTTAATGCGGCCTCTTGACAGACCGATTGTGTAACAGCATTCCTCCCAAGGAAACACGTCTGCCCCCTCGGAGAAGGTGCGAGAGCTTCCCAGACACTGAAAGGGCCCTGCTGGGTAAATTAATTCTTCATTATTCCATTCCCGGGGCTCTCATGCTGGCCCAATGCCCGGCACGCAGACGCCCCCTGCACCGGGTCTCCCAGACGCGGGGTGGCGAGGGCCAGGTAGTCTGGGCCATCCACAGAACCAGAAGATGCGCTCAGAAATGCAGATTCCCGTCCATCCTTGTCTCCTCCACCGGGACAAAGGCTCTGTTGTTGACATGTGAGCTTGCTCTCTGGTATCTAAATATTTTACCGCCGGGGACACGCAGGGTCACATCTGTCTGCACACGACAGCTTTGAGCAGGGTTGGGGGTTCTGGCAAGGTGCTTGCCAACTCTCTTTCTCCGTGGGTCTTAGTTTACCCACTCTGCCCCTTGGCAAACACTCCCCTGGGACCGGAAAATGCCACTCGCTGTTACGATTTCCGAGTGGGGTCCTCAAAACCCCCAAACTGTTCAGACCCAGGGCATGGAGAGTGCAGCGCAGGCCTTGATGCCCCAGAAGTGGGGGTCCCGGAGGCATGGCTGCTGTGGGTCATCACAGGCGGGGACGGGGAGGTGACTTTACCCGGATGGAGCCGACGCCTGAGGGTGAGCCAGCGTCCTTTCTCCCATCTTTGATATGCCCCTTCCCCTGGTCTCCCTTCATCCAGACTAGACGTGGAAATCCATCACCACCACTGATGAGCTGGGTGGGCATCAGTCAGCTACCTAATCACTCTCACCCTCAGTTTTCTCATCTGTAAAATGGAGATGGTGATCCTGCCTCCAACAGGCTGGGATGTTGGGAGAGGAAGCTGAGGTCTTGCATGGAAGCATTTGGGATGTGCCCGGCCTGGGGCTCAAGAAATGGTGCCTGTTTCAGCCAGTTGCCTTCTTACTGATTTGACAAACAGTCACTGGGCCGGGAGCAAGGGTCCCTGCCCTGGGGGTGGGTGGGGGGCGGTGGGAAGGGTGTGAAAAGGGAAGTGTGTTCACGGAATCCCCCTGTCACCAAGGAGACCTGTGTGGACGGGGACACCAGACGCCCAGGTTCACAGCCAAGGCGGCTTGTTACCCGCTGGGGCCTCAGTCTGCCCAGATGTGAAGCAGGCGACGCTGGCGGCTGCCGCTCCTATGGATTAAATAAGCGAGTGCTCTGTGACACACAGCACAGCCTCCACAAACGTGTCTCGGGGCTCAACATGCAGCCATGTCTACGGCATCGCGGGGCTGATGCCACCGCTCTCAGAGGCCAAGACAGAGGACGCAGAGGTTGATGGAGGTTTCGTCCCCAGCAGGCCTGAGGTCAGCGGCCCATGCACCCAGCAGTCCGGAGGCCAGAGCAGGAAGCACTCAGGCGGTCTCCTCCCTCCAGCTGCTATCTCTCCGGGCTCTGGGCACCTCTTGCCACTTCCTTCCCAGGGGAGCGGGTGGGAAACCAGAGCTGCTGGCAGGAGGCGCGCGCCTTTCATCCACCCCGGGATGGGAGCAAGTTACAGGTGAGGCTATTGTTCCTGAGCACAGGTGGAGATAATGCATCCTGACAGCCGGGAGGACCGGCCCCTGGCAGCCCCACCGGCCTGGCCCGAGCCCCAGGGTAGCCCTCGTGGGCACCCGAGTTACAACACGTCCTGTGAACGCTCCCCATGGCGCAGCCTCTTCGTGTGTTTCCAGCGCCAGCGGCTTGGACGCACCTGGGAGCGGCATAGTGCATTTATCGAGGGCTTTGGCGAAGGTCACCGCCAGCTGGGGGACAGAACGTGTATTGTCGAGGGTGCCAGCCCAGTCTCCGCGGCCAGCCGGCTGCCCTGACCACAGGCATTCCTCGCGCTCACCCTCGAACACACCAGGCGGGCACCCGCCCCTGCTGGGGCTGGCCTTGCCCCTGCCCTCCGACGCCACCTTCGGGCCGCGGGCTGAAGCCTCACCCACCATCTTCCAAAACCTAATTGCCATGCTATGTCTGCGACGGGCATGGACCCAGGGCCCCGGGCCTGCCAAGAATTTCCCCGTGTGAATACCTGCGCAGGGCATCTCCTGTGGGAACCGGGAGGCACCCGGGGCCTGGCGTTTGTCCCCGGCTGTCTTGTGACATTAGGCAGATCAAAGCCCCATTGTCAACAGTCGTGTTCGCTCTGTTCCTCCGCTTGGAGCCCGTGTCCTGGGACTGCCCTTCCCTCGTTTCAGACGCGGGGTGGGGGCCTGACCCCGGGACCCGGCTCCCGGTCCAGCCCCGGCGCTCCTCCTGGCAGAGCCCCCACCGAAAGCAAATTGCCTCTCCTGGGTCTGAGGCCAGGCACACCCTGACGAAGAATGAGAAAGCGGGGCGGCCCGGCTCCTCCCATTGTCTTCAGAGCCACAAGCTCCGACCTGGCTCTACATGCAGCAGCTCGGACCGGGAGAAGAAAGTCACCGAGGCTGGAATCGCTGCCAGAGCCGGTGGCGGGGAAGGGCAGCGGGAAGGAGCAGGGCGATGGCCCTGCTCAGCACCCCTTGGAGAACACCCAGGAGGAAGGACACCCTGAGAAGCATGAGCATGGCCTGGCAGGAAGGTGTCAGATCCTCCCAAGTCCACCATTGGTGTCCAGCAAGGGGGCCAATCAAATGATTCAGCCACATGAATGGCAACGCGTGAGCTCACGGGAGCTCGCTACATCTTAGACCCATTGGTCCAGGCTGCCTGTGCACATGCTAAGCTGGGGGAGGGAAGAGCACCCAGATGGATTAATAATGTCCGTCCAGGTGTCAGTCTCTCCCAAGACCAGGGAGCTGTACTCACATTTTGTATCTCTATTGGACAGGAGTCTTTCTGAGTATGGGTGGCTTATGCATGTGTTGAGAAGCACAGAGATTTCAGCTTCAGGACTGGCTGGATCCAGAAGCCCCAAAGCTATCATCAGACCTCAATCTCACTTTCTCCATTTCTCATTTCTGCCTTCTTCTGAGAAGGCTGTAATTCCTGGATGGGCTCACGTGGATTTGACTGGGGTCTCGTGCCCATTTCTGATTCAGCCACAATAGCCAGGGGGCTAAGAAATGCTGATTGACCACTCTGGGTCTGGGGGACATCTTTTGCATCTCTTGAATCTCACGGGCTGAGAGAGGTTTGCACTGGGAGCGGCATCAGTGCACAAGACACAGTGCGCCGTGATGCTCCATTTATCAACAGGGGCCACGTGCCAGGGTCTTTCACTCTGGAGAAGGTGGAGAACATTCTACATCCAGGGCAGAGATGGGCATGATTGCCCAAAGGGCTGGTTAGGCAGAATTGAGGTCTGGCCAAGTGTGATATTATGATTTTTAATAAGAAATATATATTTGGTCTTAGTCCCCATTCCTGGCACAGAGCCCCTAAATGCCTTGGAATTTCCTGTGAACAGAGCATAAAGGTGTCTTTTGTTATGTTAATAATATGATTTTTGGAAACTACCTAAGGATGGAGGCTGGTTGCTAGGAAAGCCAAACACACACATCAGAGAGAGAAATTTTCAGCCCCACCACCAGGAAGGTCGAACCCATCACAAATCACCAACGATTTAACCAATTGTGTGTGTGTATAAATCCTCCAAAAAGTCCCCAAAAGACAGGGTTCTGGGAGCTTCTGGGTTGGTGAACATGTGCAGATTTGAGGAGAATGGTGCTCAGAGCGCGTGGGAGCTCTGAACCATGCCTCATGCCTTGCCCTGTGCCTCTCCTCCATCTGTGTGTCCTTGAGTTATGTCCTTTTGTAATAAACCTGGTGGCTCAGGCAGTAAGGAATCTGCCTGCTATGCGAGAGACCAGAGTTTGACCCCTGGGTTGGGATGACCCCCTGGAGAAGGGAATGGCGACCCACTCCAATATTCTTGCCTGGAGAATCCTGTGAACAGAAGAGCCTGGTGGGCTACAGTTCATGGGCTCGCAAAGAGTTGGACACGACTGAGCGACTCTGTGTGTGTTTGTGTGTGTGTGTGTGTGTGTTTGTGTGAACTAGTAGGCAAAATGTTTCTCTGAGTCCTGTGAACAGTTATACAAAATAATTGAACCCAAGGAGAGAGTCACCAGAACCTCTAAACTGTAGCTAGTGGGTCAGAAGCACAGATGGTGACCTGGATTTGAAACTGGCATCTAAGTGGGATTGGGGGCTCTTGTGAATGAGCCTGTGACTGCAGGGTCTGTACTATCTCCAGGCTGGTAGTGTCAGAATTGAGTGGAATTATAGGATTCCCAGCTCATGTCCAAGAATTGGTGTGGGAAACAACCCACACACTGGCACTGCTGTCAGTATCTTCGTTGGAACCAGAGTCAAACCATGAAAAGCCTTGAGAGTTAGCCTAAGGAGTTGAAGTATATCCACCAAGCAGCAGGAACCACTGAAGGGGCTCAAACACATGGGTTTGGTCTGATTTCTGCTGTGGACTTACCTTGTCGCTCAGCTGGTAAAGAATCTGCCTGCAATGTGGAAAACCTGGGTTCGATCCCTGGGTTGGGAAGATCCCCTGGAGAAGGGAAAGGCTACCCACTCCAGTATTCTGGCCTGGAGAATTCCATGGACTGTATAGTCCATGGGGTCGCAAAGAGTCAGACATGACTGAGCGATTTTCACTCACTCATGCTGTGGACAGAATACAGTGGCTTCTCTGGTGTGAAGTGTGGGCTGGACAAGAGGTAAGGAGGTTGCTGGAATCGCTGAATTGTGGCTGATCGAGTCCTGATGAAGCTCAGAACTTGGAGTGAAGATTAGCTTAGCTAGGAGCTGGGCCAAGTGGGAGACCAAGGGAGACAGAGCAGTTAGGAGAAGCACCAAGCCCTAGCTCTGAGAACGTCAGCTCTCCAGACAAGAAGGGAGCGAATGGAGCACGAGGTTTTCCCAGAAGGCTCAGTGCGGGCGCGTCTGCTTTCGGTAGGCCCTCAGTCGCAGTCTGGCTACTCTTACTGTACAAAAAGTGATAGTGGATTTTCAGACTTCTGTGTCTACTCCATAGGAAATCAGGGACTCATAAATTGGATGTGTGGGGTGTGCGTGTATGTGTGAAGGAGAGAGAGGGGGAGAAATTGAGAGAGAGACATGGAGAGCGAGATTTGGTGGGAGGGTAGCAGTGGAAATAGGAGGGGAAAAAGTGGAAGCAGTGAGAGATTTAATTTTCTTGGGCTCCAAAATCACTGAAAATGGCGACTGCAACCATGAAATTATAAGACACTTGCTCCTTGGAAGAAAACTATGACAAATCTAGACAGCACATTAAAAAGCAGAGACCTCACTTTGCCAACAAAGGTCCATAAGAAGCTATAGTAAAGTTATAGTTTTTCCAGTAGTCATATACGGATGTGATTGTTGGACCATCAAGAAGGCTGAGTGCCAAAGAATTGATACTTTTGAATTGTGGTGCTGGAGAAGACTCTTAAGAGTTCCTTGGGCAGAAAGGAGATCAAACCAGCCAATCCTAAGAGAAATCAACTCAGAATATTCATTGGAAGGACTGATACTTCAGTCCAATACTTTGGCTACTTGATGCAAAGAGCTGGCTCATTGTAAAGGAACCTGATGCTGGAAAGATTGAAGGCAGGAGGAGAAGGGGGCGACAGAGGATGAGATAATTGGATGGCATCACCAACTCGATGGACATGAGTTTGAGCATACTCCGGGAGATAGTGGAGGATGGAGGATCCTGGCATGCTGCAGTCCATGAGGTCACAAAGCTTCAGATACGACTTAACGATCGAACAACAACACAACAAAGCAGTGAAAATGGAGATAAAGAAACCCTGTGAGCTCAAACTGGGGCCACACGGTGCAAGGGCAAACAGTTTTACACAAATCAATAAACCCTAAGAAGCACATACCGTTCGAGGATAGGAAGTGGTCATTAGTAGGTGCTGGCAGCTGCTGCCTTTGGCCGCTTGAGGGCAAGACGATGAATGAGGGTGGGGACACACCTGGCTCTCTGTCTGGGTCTCCTCTGCTGACCCCCAATTCCTGAGAGCTGCACCATGGCACAGCTCCCCTCTGTCCATGGATGTCAGACCTCACCAGCCAGACGTGGGGCTGCCCAGAGGAATCCATAGGCTCCGTGGGATGGATGGGACAGGGGTTCCACCCAGAAAGCACAGGTGGCATCACCCATGGGTGCCCCTTGGCTGGGATCCTGGCCTCACTGGCTACAAACCTGGCTGGGCTGGCCTCCCAGCCAAAAATAACATAGTGGATGTTATACAACCAGAAACATGGGGCATCCAACCCTGAGGCCTCCTGGGAACACCAGGCTTTGCTTTCCTGAGAAAAGAGGAAGGGAAGGAGCAAAGCCCACTGGTCCAGCTACAGTGAGTGGTGGCAAGCGGGCGCTGGGCCTCCCCTCCCATTACACACGTGTCATTCATAGGCTCCTGGAGACAGATGCTGCTATGGGCTGTTGTAGCCCCCCAAACCCTATATTGAGGTCCTGACTCCCAACAGATCAGTATGTGACTGTGTTTGGAGACGAGGCCTTTAAAGATGTAATTAAGGTAAAATGAGATCACTAGGGTGGTCTTAACCCCATAGGACTGGGGTCCTTATAGGAAAAGGAGGTCAGGACACAAACACACACAGAGGGACGGCCCTGGGAGGACACGGGGAGGAGACGGCCGTCTGCACGCCCAGGAGAGAGGCCTCAGGAGGACCAGCCCTGCCCGCACGCAGGTCTGGGATTCCAGCCTCCAGGCCTGGAGAGAATAAGTTCCTGTCATTCAAGCCACCCTGTCCATGGGACATCTTGAAAGGCAGCCCGAGGGGACCATCCAGATGCCTGTTTGCAGAGTAGCAGGTCTGCGGAGAGGACTGCAGGCTCAGGCGG